TCTTTGAAGATGTTTCGCTTGTCATCCAAGGAGCTTCCTCAGCTCTGAATGTGGACGATGCTTGGGTTAAGATCAAAGCACAGGAATTGGAAGTGTTCACTGAACCTACCAGAGCTGATGAAGCTTCTTGGATGAGAAGTGAAACATCTTCCAAGAAAAAACAAGAAAGTCCAGTTGCCTCTTGAAAGAAAAAAACAAAAAAAGGATCTTTGGGGCAACCATAACCTGGATGACGGAGAATTCCATAGACATTTAGACAAGTTCCATTTTTATTTATTTATTTTAATTAATATATAAATAAAGAGAAAGAGCAAAACGTGTTCGAAATCCACATACAGTGTGTTGCTGGTTACATTTCTTAAGAGTGATATTCATCATAACCATTATCATAGTCTTCTCTAATGATAATTTCATGATAACGGCGCTTTCCCCTCGTAACATTGATACGCATTAATTAGTAAATCTAATCAAAATTAATCAGAATTAACAGGAGTTAGAAACTCGAAGGTTATAAGAGAAAGATTAATCTCACAATCAGAGTGGTTCATTGTAGCTTATTAATTGTGATTCATTTTGATTAATCCATTAAAAAAAGGAATAAATTGAGCCTAAAATATTGTTGTCAGGATTCCAGCCATCGCTCCAATTAAATCAGGATTCTCGAACCAAACTTCAAAAAAACTTCAAAGGATTCATTAGAGACGACATACTGGCCCTGCCCTGCGTGAAGCTACTCTGGCATACGTCATTTACAGTCCCCTGTGACCCTGTTTTTCCCCTCCTCCCTGGGTGTGTCATAAATCAGATTCTCCAACTGAGCACATTCACAGGCTGGGTGTCATCATTCATGTTCTCCAATTAAATATATTTGCGGGCAAAAGCTCTGGTAGTTTAGTTACAATCGTTTAAAGAGAAGAGTTGGAATGTACTTCCGCTTTCAAACTGCTGCACTGCTCTTCCAGATTTCCTTCCTCCTCCCTTCCTTTTTTTTTATGGCAACTACTAAAACAGGCATAGGAATGTTTGATAAGTTGACATTTGTATTGACTGGGGTGGTTATGAAATGGCTTGATGCAAAACAAAACCAACCAACCAACCAACCTTTGAACAGTCACGTTGTGGTTAGTCGGCAGCAGGCACGGAGGGCTGAGGAGAGCGAGGACTCAGATGAGGGGCCAGGACCATTAGGGAGTGAGATTGTGGGGGCTGGCAGCAGTGATGAGGAGGGTCCCGAGGAGCCTGTGCCAAGTGCCAAGTGTGCGTGCAGGGCTGCTCGCAGAAAAGAGCAGCTGCAGCAGCACAGGCAACTCGGGAGTAAGGCTGCAAGGTAACGGCCCCTCCTTCAAGAAGATAAAAGCCAGCTGTGAATCGGACGTTCTTTGCAGGAAGCAAAGACGTTTTGAAACTCAGCCTCGTGGACATTGCAGTATCTGAAGTTGGTATTTGAAGACTCTTGTGTTGTGAAATATCTCTAGGTATCTGTTAACCTTGGCAGCCTCGCACAGTTTTGGTGAGGCTCGTGCCTATCAAAGTTAATTAGTTTGCAGCAGCTTTTTAACCGGGGATTCGTAATAATTATTAAAAGGTTTCTGTTTCCTTTGGTTCGTGTTTGTTTTATTGGACAAGGGTTTGGGTCAGAACAGGTCACTAAGTGAAATTTTGTAAATTGAGGACCATCTTATGAGCGTAGACCTACCAGAATCCGCACAGCAGAGGACAGACTGTCCAAAGGGAAATCGGGAAGACCCAATGAAGACGATTCTTGGGTGCAGAGAGTCATAGCAAAGGATAAGAGCTGAGAGATTCTGGAAATAAAACAAATCGATCCTTCACTTGCACCAATTAGATGAGATCTGCTTTCACACTGCCCTGCCAACAAAACTGGGGTTGAAACCTTCTTAATTTTGCATGTAGGACAGCTACCTTCCCTTTTAACCAAAGTGTAGTTTTCCACAGTATCTGAATTTGGGGGGCCGTGATTTCATTTACCGCAGAACCAGACCCACAGGACTTAAATCAGAATTTTGCTACTTGCAAAATACATCACCGTCTCTTTACACAGTCAGAATTTGAAGCTCAGGATGATTCAAGATTTCAGGTCTAAATTTATTACGGGGAGTTATTTGTCATCCTATTACAAATATTTAAATTCTGCTACCACTTTTAAGAGGCGTTTCAATGCTACAGCCAGAGGTCTGGATTTGAAAAGTTAATTCGAGGAACACTCGTGCAGAAATTCGATGTGCCTATTTACCTTTCTGTTGAAATGTTATTTCCAATAAAATACAGTTGCGAGAGGTGGTCCTGAAAGAAAATGCAACAGAAATGATGGTATAAATCTTTTTTTTTTTTTTGTGCGAGGTCCGTTCCGTTCCAGGATATTATTAACTAGGTTTTGACAGATTGGATCTGGGTTTTACTGCTGACTCAAATGCTTTAATATATACAGTCGTTGAAGCCAAAGCGTGAAACTTTAGAAAATCAAATTGCTTTTAATCTTGAGTAGAGTTTTTGTTTTAATTAATGGACTGCCCGCTTAAGGAATTCGTGGGCTTCAAGCCAACATTTCAAAATTAAAAAATTTGCCATGTTTTCCTTACCTTGAAGGGTAAATAATAAACATCACGGGCCTGAAACCTAGATCGAAGTGGCGGATCTAATGGGTTGCCCAAATATCGGGGTACAGGGAGCCCCA